CTGACTAAAGAACTCTGCTGCTTCTAAACACTGAAATAAATATGAAAGTTTTGTCAGACCATCAAGTATTTCACCTTGAAGTGTGATGTCCTGTAGAAATTATGGAGATGTTCCTTGACCACATTATTGTTGAAGTTTCTGGTATTTCTGATGAGCATGCATGAAGGTACTGCTTTAAATACATGATCGGACATAAATAAGCAGACTAAGTTGTTGAAAGGGAGTCCTGTGTGGCTGCATGTGGATGGGGGGGGGCAGTGTATGCTGGCTGCCATCAAAGTATACAAAATGTGGAATTCAGCTAGTTTTACTGCAAAAGCAACATTGCTGTTGTTCGGCCATCTTGGGAACTAAATGCTTTGGATGTTATTCAGGTCCTGAAATAGTATAGCTTCATTCGTTATTGAAAACCATAGATCTGAGTGAAACTTTATTAGTTCGTGTGGCAAGAGTTTGATTTTCACACACTGTTGGTTTAAGTGGAAGCAGATGAGCAACAGTAGCTGGAAGATACCCAGTAGGAAAGATATTTGTATTATTTTAGTAATTTGAAAATTCAGAAGCTGTTGATTGGACTTGCAGCACCTAAGCTTTACAGATCAACAAAATAATTATATTGCTTACTTGTGAAAGTAGATCTTTATGTCTTAAAGTCTGTAGAGTAAACCAGAACTGCCTTCATTGCCTATGCTTCTCATTGCTTCAGGACACATTTTGTGTCTGTGTAGGAGTTGTAGCTCTCTCCAGAGGGTTTCTTGTAGTCACTAGTGCTGCTTGCAGTTGCAAAACTTAATCACAGAAGTACTGCTAAAGCAGTTGGGCAGCAGAAGATACAAGTCATCTTGACTGAATATGAGATGGCCATGAATAATAAGTGGTAGAGGGAGGCCATTCAGCTGTGCATGGCCTTCCTGATTGCTTACTCCTGCTGACAGGTACCTGCCTTACAGAGCTCTGAGACACTTCAGCAGGGCAGGTGTAGTGCTGTGGAGCCAGGGGTAGATACTAAGAGGGTATAAAGCAATGGCTTTATACCTCAAGAGGAATATGAAGCAGAGGCACAGCAAAGGACTGCAAAACCAGACAAGAAGCCAGACTTCCATTACAAAAGTCTATTCCATTTTATGCTGCCCTATCTGCGCTTGTCATGCTCTACATAGCATTGAGTTCTTTTCTAGGTGTATACAATAGAATTAATTATCACTCTGTGAGTATCACCTCTTAAATTAATTTTGCTGGTTTTCACAGTTGCAACACTGAATGGTATGTTTTCCCCTTACTCTTCACAAATTGCATAACTTGTCATTGCTGAGTTCATTTGTCTTCATCTGTCTGTGTGTCTTCCCTATTTCTTTTGTATATGTGCTGTAACTCTGTGGCCGTCACAAGAATGCAAACATTTAATACGAAGAAGAAACTGGTGCTGTAAGTGTATCCATAAGTGTTGTGGTCTTGTCCTTCCCCTAAAACTTCTCTCCCATGCCGGGGAAGCTTGTGGATAATTTGATAGTCAAACAGTGGAGCAGTGGTATGGGGGCAGAAATGTTACAATTGGCACTCTTAAAGTAAATTTATAAAACCAATTAAAAGCATATATTAATTCAAATTGAGTAGCATATCATATGTTTGATGCAGTAAGAATATGATAAGTGAGTTGCACAAGGGAGTCATCTGCCTTTCCTGAAAAGCACATGAAGATAAAAATGCTCTGAAAAAGGTATTTTTATAAAGTTACTTTGGACATGGTGTGAATGACCTGGAACTGCATGTAAAATTTAATCTGTATGCAATTATGACAAAAAAAACCATGGATAAGGTCAGCCAGATAAACTACACAGTGCTGACCTTATTTTTAAAATTATTTAAGGAGATGACAGATCATTTTGGTCTTTTTGTAATAACAAAAATTCAGCTTTTGTGTTACCAATAGGTATTAATCTTTTCTTTTCCCAGAGGTACTTAAAAAAAGTTTGACATACTTACAAAAATAGGATGAGATCAGGTTATAGAAATCTAAGCCAGGATTTTGTCATGGTTTTATTTTTGCCTCCAGACTTTAAATACTTCTAATAAAGGATATATTTTAAAGCATGAACTAAAAGCCTAGAGTTCACATTGCTCTGTTTGGAGCTGGGAGAGGCTTGTACCCTTCCATACATTTTTTTACATATAGGAAACATAACTTTTTTTATTGCAAATCAGTTTTATAAAGACAGAGAAATGAAAAGACCATTCTTCAAGCAACACAACTTCAGTTTCTATTACACCGACCTTTTAGGAAAAATAGTCTTAATACACTCTTTAGGGCTTGTAGGAAACTGCTTATCTTACATAATGATTTAAAATTGCTCTGTATTTGTTTCTGAGTAGCTTATCTTTTTGGGTAATTCCTTTCTCTTTCAGACTCACAGAATGACAAAAATGTATTACTTAACTGACTAATGTAATAACATTCTTTCAAGGGGAAAGTGCTTCTGACTTCTAAATAAGTATCAGTAATGCTACTTATAAATAGTTAAAAATAGTTGTAGTTTTGCATTTTTAGCAGTGTTGTTGAAACAAGGGTAAAAGTAGTACTAATTTTAAAAATACTAGTTGGACTACATTGTACATGCCAAAGAATAGGCAAAATACAATTGTCTCTCCTGGCTTAATACAACTCTTTAGTGGGCCTTCAGTGAAATGTGATTAACTGAAAAGAATTTGTGGCTTTTTTCTTTCCTGGTGTTAGTAGCTCTTGAAAAGGGGACATGTGTGGATCTCTTCTCTTCTCTT